ATGCAAGATCACATGATAAAAACCACCAGACTTAAGAAGAAAGTGGAATTAGGAGCACAACATTCATAAATGTCAATGGTGACGTGCAGAGAAAAGAACCCAATAAAACTGATTGCACTAGCCGAGCACCAGTAGCTCACAGCTGTAGTTATAGCTACTGAGGAGGCTGAGATGTAAGGATGGTAGTAGTTCAAAGACAGCCCAGGCAGGAAAATTGGTGAGACTCTTATCTCCAATTAACTACCAGAAAAACAGAAATGGTGCTGTGGCTCAAGCACCCAAGCCTTGAGTTCAAGCACCACACCCAACCAATAAAAAAAAACAATAAACAAATATTGCCTTGTATTACACGTGGCAAATGGTTTATACATAAGAACCACAAGAACTACCATAAGTCTTGAAAAAGACTGCTGTTTGCTTTAGGTCCATATTATTACAAAGGAGAAAAAGGAGGGCTGTCAGACTGGGAAGGAAGTAATCACACCAGGTGTGCATGTGGCTCGTCACATGTGCAGAACTGAAGTGGGGAGTGTATGTCTGAGTTGTGTGCAAATACAAGTTTAGTATGTTCTGTGGGATGAGTTCAGCTGTATAGAGTCCATGTTCACCTTGTTTCTTACACATGAAATGATGCATAATCAAACACAAATGCTCAAATTGTTCCCTAATATATCAATTATGTCAGAACAAATTTGCATCTTCAAAAGCATTACACAGGATTGATTGCACTTCATTATGCTTCCCAGTGTAATTTTATTTTTCCATCCCTTTTATTTCTTCTTTATATTACATTCACAGCATCATGCTAATGTCTGGAAATTATGTGTAGAGACAGAGAACTTATATTGTCTGTGATGTTCATTTATTTCACAACAGGAAAAGTGGCATTACAAAGTATTTTATATAAAGTGGGTGTTGTATCTGAAAGGCTTGAGAAGCTCTGCTCTGACTCACTTAAAAGTTCATAAAGAAGTGTCTTTCTTGTGTTTTAGTCCTCTGTAGCATGTGCAATCTATAAATTTGATAAGTATGTCTCCCATAGTTTCAGTCAAATCTCTGAAATGATTTCTTCTAGGACACAACTAAAGAGCTCATGTCACACCACTAAAAATCGCCCTCCTATGTCTCTGTTAAACAGCCCCTAGACATTCATTCACTTACAAAATTGTTCAAATTTGTCCATTCTGACCAAGAAATCCTGCCCAGGGCATTCCTGGGGGTAAGCCAGACCACACTGCCTGCCACACTCCTATTACCCTTCAATCTAATGTTCTCACAAAGGAGAGAAGCTCACATTGTTGAACTTTTCTGGAAATGTTCAAACCTGCCAATATTTTTCCTAGAAAATGACACTGAATATAAACCAGTGTTCTGTGGCCTGACCAGGATGAGAAATATCAACAGAATTTTTTTAACATCTATGGTTAAGGATTTTGTTCTTATAAATGGAAACAATAGAAAAGTAAATCTTGAACAGGATAATCATTCCCATTATAAAATGGCCTGATTCCTGAGCTAGTAAAGTAAAATTTCTGGAGGAAGATCTTGGAAATAATATTCAGGATTTCTGCAGAAGTTTTTGGTATGAAGCAGTTTTGATTGGAAGCAAACATCAATCATCATTTACTCCTTCAAGAAACTGGTACACGCCCACACTAGTGTGTGAAAGTACTGCACTAGAGACTACAGTTTCAAAAGTTCAGTTTTCAAATTTATGAGAGATACACAGACTAATGCTAACTACTGTTGCACAAAGGCAATTGTTACAAAACTCCAAAGCATTTCTCATTCTGTTCTCATTACTGACATCCTAATATGGAACATTTCATGATACATTTTTCTTAACATTCCCTCAAAAATTTTAAAAACTGTCTCTATGTGCATTTTATATATATATATATATATATATATATATATATATACACACACACATGTATTTGTGTGTGTGTGTGTGTGTGTGTGTAGTTTATACATAAAATTTTTTCCTTTTATCCCCTATCCCCCAAGAGCTAATTTCACACTGTTGGGTTAATAGTACCCCATGGAAAATGGATATGATAGACATCTATGGAAAAATGGCAAGAGTACAGGGAAGTGAACAACTAACTTCATGCGGCAATCAAAGAAGGTAGAAGAGGGAGCAACATTTGAGCCAGGTTTTGTAGGATGTATAAGAGCTTTCCATCTGGGAAAAAGCAGGGAGGGGGGAGTATTTCTAAGAGGAACAACCTCTAGGCATGTTTGCTAAGTGCATGGCATGTACTCTGACATCTACATACCCACACAAAGAGGCAGACATTTAAATCACAGATTTTAGTCTAATTGTACTTACAAACTGGCTCTTAGGAGGAATCAAATCCTAGAATCCTTTGTAGATAGGAGAGTGCTCAGGGAGGAGAAAGGAAGAACACTGAGTCAGTAAAGATAGGTATTTGGTGCCTTTTATTCCAGCCTAGGTCTCAGATGGAGTGACTCCTGAGTAATAAATAATAGAGCACACTTTGAGCATAGTTCATTCACCACATTCCCAGACACATTTCGAATACCATTCCAAGCAAGTCGTGAAAGCTCTGATTAATATACAACATACAGCTCTTCATATATACTCTCAGGGGTAAAAATACTGCTGAAAAGCCAGATCTTTTAAAAGCTGAGCATCTAACACCACCTTGTGAATGATAATAAATGACAGGCAAGCGGTCTGGGTCTGCAGTGGTAGATACAAACATGCAGAACCACGCTTAGGCCAAGATTGTCTTCTGGCAAAATAAGATTTCCTTTGAGACAGCTGATATTTCCCAGTTCCAACTTGGTCAGAAATAGCAACCTCAACACTCGGGGTATTTTCCTTTTTGTTTCTTATGCCTTCATAGTTCCCATTCAAACTACTAGGAATGTACATCTATTTGCTCTTAAAATAAGATGGCAGTTATTTTTTCCTAAGATCAGAGAAGTTTAGAATTCTTTGACAACTTTAAATCTTGCTTAGTATTTAAAGTCTAGATGAGGGGTCAAAAAATACTACAATGAGAGAAAAGCAGTGCATTGTCATCTCAGCTGAAGACAGAGAAACCATGTATGGAAATGAAGTTCTGTGGACTGAGCACCTAACAGTGCCATTTTGATCTTTCTACAATGGACCATGATGACACTTCTTTTAGTTTAAGAGAATAGTCTTCCCAGGATGGTTCTCCCAACAGAAAAGTGAGTTGCTTGCTACTTCACCATGATGTATTTGATGACTAGGACTTGTGTCAGGGTAGTTTGAACAGAGTGTGTGCAAATCACAATAGGTGCTACATGCAAATGCAATTCACAAATGACTCTGGTCTGTGACCACTCCTTCTCTGGGCTCTTAGGAAGATTCTGACCACTTACCTATAGCTACAGCTTTCTCTACTCTTTAATGGGTTTCTTAAGGAAGAGCCCAATGTCATTTTAATACCTTCAGTAGATACAAGAATGTAAGCACCTTACAAGCATATTTTGGTAACATGTGTAAGTTAATGAATTAATAAATGTTGAACTAAGAAGATTAGATATTGTCTTGATGTGATAAAATGACTCATCAAGCCTAAGGAGTATTCCTCCATATATGTGCAGTTAATCAGAAAGGGGGCCACTTATATCCAATGCTAGCACTAACAATAATAATGAGAATGTCAATTCTCCACAACATCCTACCCAAATAAAAATCCTCTATTCATAAAAGGATTGCTTTTTCAACTTCTCATACTAAAACTGGTTCCTGTAATTCTAGCAGTTGCTCTGACTTAACAATTATATCCATATCACCTAGGATAGCAACTGGTGCACAGTAGCCCTTCAATAAATATTTATGAGTGAAGGAATTAACATACATATTAAATTTGTTTTCTTCCTTATTAGGTACTGAATTGTATTCTAATCCCACTACATTTAGCTAACCCTCATTAGAACACTTTGTTACTAACACTATTACTCTCGGCCACTCAATAAACATAAATTATGCAGTGAAGAATTATATTCTGTGTCTACCTTGGGACTCAGACCTGCCACATAACTATCATGGCATTTTCCCTTGTTTTGTTTGGGTTCTCCCTATTTTGCCCAGATAGCCTCAATATCTGGATCCTCCTGCCTCAGCCTCCAGAGAGCTGGAATTACCAGAATGTACCACCAGGCCCAGTTAACTCTCATGTTTTTAATCTGGGTTTCCCCTTCCTAATTACTTTCCTACGACAACTACATTTAAGAAGGAAATTAGTGCCTATGAAGTTCTCTAAAATAGACATAGACTGTGCCTGTCCTTCCGATTTGTGAGCAACTTGAACTTGGCCTGCCATTTACCAACAGATGTACTACACAGCCCTCATGGCTCCTACTGGGGCTTGAATCTTAAACTGAGGAAACAAACCTCCTCATTTCATTCCAGAAGAAATGAAGACACATACAGACTATGTTTCATGAGTGCCTGGCAGGAAGAATGTGCTCATCTTATATAAACAAAAGTGGCATCTTGTTTGTTTCTCTCTTTCCTCATCAGCACTTGCCTTACCCAACATTTCAGATATTCCACTAATTAAAAGAAACATACCTTATTCTGTGATTGATTTTCAAACTCATTTACTACTCATTTCTCTGTGGCTTAATTTAATTAAATTGAGCAGCATATCAAATATTGATTTTAATAAAATCTTGATTAAGATTGGGACAATTATCAAACACAAATTTTCACACCACTCCTGCATTTCAATGGATCCAAGCTCAAAAACCAATTTGCTTTAAAATAAAGAAGTGATTAGTGATTACACACACACACACACACACACACACACACACACACACTCAGGCCATTCTCAGGGATAAAGAAAAAATGGTTTCTAAAACCTTTTTATTAGCAAAGATAAGCAGCAAGCTGTGACTAAGGATTTTTAAATACTTAATGTAGTTATTTACCTTTATCCACAAAAAGAAGTTAAAGGGGAAAAGCAAAAAAGAACAAGGTCCTTTGGTAAAAATTCATTTGGCACCTGTGAACAGAGCACTGCTTTGTCTCACTTGGTACAGGTAAGGGAGAGTTCATCATAGTGTTGATTTTTATGTATGTGGCAAACTTTACCCACATGCGACTTAATATAATTAACTGCTAACCAGGAAGTACATGTATTCTAAACCTTGAAATTTGCTTTGTCATGTAACTTGTGGCTGCAGGCTAGTTCTTATAAGGCTCTAATGTAAATGTGGTGTATATATTATCAATAGTATTATCTTAACAATTAACTATAAGTATAAAACACTTAAAGTTAAATATTTGGTGTGATCATTACGCTAAAAAAATCCCACTAATAGCTGTCACAGCAGCACCACCTAGAGGATTCTGGGAGCAACACAGGCTTATTTTCCCAACTTGCCCTCTTCCTGCTGAGAACACCTTCCTTCTTTCAGTACCTTGTGCCTTTTGAAGCATCTCAAGTTAAACTGAATGACCTCAAAGCCACCGCACATTTGCACAGAGGATGGCAATTCATCTCCTGCAGGAGGTGGTAATCTGGTGTGTTCCAGAGTAGCCAAGCCCTGGCACACTGTGACATGGCTGACTCCTCCCTCAGGCACAGCTTCTCATTTTGTCCTGAACAGCCACTAGAGCAACTGGAAAGACCAGACATTTCACAAAGAGTCAAAGTCACATTCCTAAGCCATACTCTTCAATGAGTATTTTGAGGAGATGAGAAGAAATGAACTTTCTCTGTGGACACTGTTTACACGAGAAGATACAGTTACTAACTCACTTTACTACCCAAAACTAAATCAGTGTTCTATGAGTGGAGTTGAAAGAGAAATGACAAAATATTTCCCATTTTTTGCAGTTTATCTTAATCTGGAAACTTCCTTACACATATTAAGAGGATTAAAATGTAGGTAATAGGATTATCCAGCTCTTCATAGAAAGTAACTCTGCCATTGCATTAATCTGGAATCAGAGTTTCAGCTGACTTTGCTTTCTATGGTTCATAGGTAATTGCCAAAAATGCCTGCTCTGTAGGTTAGGGGTCCTTAAGGCACAAGAGGGTGTTCATTGTATTTCCACCAGAGGGCACTCTCTGCCTCCATGGAGAAATTGGTCCCACTTACAGGCAAGCAGTTCAATGCAGAAGTGGGCCTTACCCTGTACTTTGTTTCCCTCCACAAATGAATCAGGTTCCTAAATGAACATTCCAATTGTAGGAGGCAATGGCTCAAACCATGGAGAGACTATAAATTTCAAGCAATGCATCCTTGCCCAGTTTACCAAAGTACTACTATGCCTAGAGAAATTTCATCCAGTATACTAAAGCCATAGCTAAAGTTATACCAAGTAACTCTGGTTCTTTTGAAACATCCCCATTTTCCTGCATATGTTATTCCTCAGTTTGCCTCCTGAATAGTATGTGATCTTCTTTTAGGGCTTCCTTGGGGAGCTATGACCAGCTCAAAAAATGCTTCCCGGCCTCTCCCATGCTGGGTTGGGACAACTTCCCCATTTGAAACCTCTTCTTTCCTCCTGATAAAACTTGATGTGAAGTTTTGTAACTACTTGTTTCTTAACGATCTTCCCACTAGGCTGCAGGTTTTATGAAACTAGGAGTTGCTTCTATTCCCTTGTTCTGCCTTTACTCCATCAACACTGCTGACAGAATGGTTGTCCTATATAAGTATGGTTTATCTTGAGAGCAACTCTCATGTTCCATTTCTGTGCCTTCCAAACATGTGCGCAGTCATCTCCATATGTCTCACACTCATACCTTGCTCTCCTAATCCTCAAAGTGATCAAAAGAGGTACTCACAATTCAACACATTTATTGATAGCCAAGGCTCATAGCAATTTTGTTTAGCTATCTTTTCACCATCTCCAGAGTCAATATAGAATCTACAAGCAACTCATCCCATTTCCCCGGTCAGCTACCAGCAATCAAGCAACACATTTCAAGAGGGACCTATCTGGGAAGCTTTGTATACTATGCTGAAGCAGCATCCTTGTTGCAGTGAAAGCAACAAATTCCTCCTTTCCTCTCTCTCCTATATGAGGTGGCATAAAAGCACAGAGAATATGAGGAAGCTCTATTTTGCTCCTGGTTTTATTCAGCCCTTATTTTGCCCAAGGAAGGATAATCTAGACAATTTGACGGATATATAGTGGGCACTCAAATATAGAAGGCATCTTGTGCAATGTTTTAGAATGGTAGAAAGTGAGATTTCCCACCCTGGTATGCTTGTTTTGTCATTTAACTTCTTCGTCTCAGAGAGATATCATCTGCAAAATGGAGCTAAGCTTGACAGCTCAAAGGACTATAGTAAAGGAAATTGAGACAGAGATCCTGGAAGCGTTAAAAAGCTATACTCAGCTAACAAAAACTTTAACAATCCAAGAGTTTTAAGTGTTAATAAAGAACTGACCCAACACCCAATATCCTTAAGTTTTTAAAAGTCTGATAATAACAGCTAACTGCCTCATATCCTAATAAATGTTAACTCTAACTAGGAATAAAACATACAACAAAAGTATTTTATTTTAGACATCCAGGTGAGAGAAAGATCATTTTGAGTACAATACAGGAAAATGTCATGTATAGTTGTTCTGTTTTGTTTCCATACTTAATGGAAACTTGATATACAATGTAGGTAAATGTGTCTCTATCAATTCTCTTAGAAAAGGATAATATTTATGCATTCTTAAAAAACACTTTTTAGATTATAGAATTGATGGGAGAATGAAAGTTTTCCAAAACTGACAGAAGACAGTAGGACAGTTTCAAGAATTACAGTGAACTCCCAGCAAGACAAATTCACATAATGAAGTAACAATAAATGATTCATTTTCTTTGCATTCTTGGGGTTGTACTGTCTTTCATTTTAGCCATTCCAATAAGTGTGCAATGATGTCTCATTATGGTTTTAAGTTGCACTTCCCTAAGAGTTAATGATGCTGAGTATATTTTATGTGCTTATTTATATTTTTATATCCTTATTCATGAACAAGCGACTCCCAGTGTATGAAACTATTCCCAAGGTACCATGAGACAGAAAAGGGCAGACAGGTTCAAGAATGCATTCAGCACAAGCTACTGGGGGACTTACTAACAGAAGCATCATCTGGGGAGCATCAGGGCCAATCAGACCCCATGATTTTGGTCACAGATAGGGGGCTTATAAAGTGGTCTTGCCAAAAGTGACTTCAAGAAAAACAGATTGTACCTATTTACCTTCAGCTAACAGCAAAGATGTCAGGCACATTCCTGTCACCCCTACTTTTGGTAGCAGGGCAAAGCTAACATTATCAAAGCATTAAAAGAGACTGAATAAAAGGAAGGGGTGACATTGTCCAAGAAAAAAGGGAAATGTACTCATTACCTGACTGATGAAATTGTAACCCCTCTGTACAGCAACAGTAAAATTATTTTTAAAAATAAATAAAAGGGTGATTTTAAAAATAGATATTGCATAAAATGGTGTAAATGCTTCCTTAAATGTTTGGTAGAATTTTCCAGTGAATCTGCAGAGAATATTTCTTGTGGAAAAAAATGTTAAATTATCAACAGAATTTATTTTTACATCAGAATCCAGATTAAATTAAGACTTACTTTTTCTAACAACACATTTAACACCATTAATTCCCTTCTCATAATTCTTTTAGCTGTGTTCTGAAAATCCAAGACAGTGGTTTTTTGTTTTGTTTCGTTTTTTTGTTTTTGTTTTTTTTTTTTTGTCAAGTCGTGGGGCTTGAACTCTGGGCTTGGGAGTTATCCCTCAGCTCTTCAGCTCAAGGTGAACACTCTACTGCTTGAGCCACAGCACCACTTCCAGTTTTCTAGTGGCTTATTGGAGATAAGAGTCTCACGGACTTTCCTGCCCGGGCTGGCTTTGAACCATGATCCTCAGATCTCAGCCTCCTGAATAGCTAGGATTACAGGCATGAGCCAATGGCGCCCAGCTGAAATAGTGTATTTTTAAAAAGGAGGCACATTATGGATAGAGATGGGAGGGAAAAACTGGGAGAGAGGGAAAAGGTGACATTGTTTAAAAAGAAATGTACTTATTAACTGACTTATACAACTGTAACCCTTCTGTACATCACCTTTCCATTAACAATAAAAAATTAAAATTAAAAGAAAAACAGGCACACATGTATGAGAACTTCATATATGTCAGATATGGCCCTTTGGAACAGTGAAGATAGGAGTCTTTCCAGTACCTGATTATGAGTCCAATTTAGGTTGCTTTAACAGAATGTCACAGAATACTTAGAGAAAGAAAAAGTTATTGCTTACGGTTCTAGAAGGCCAGGAAATTCAGTATCAGGGCACCATCATCTGGCAAGGACCTTCTCTCTACATCATCTGGTGAAAGACAGAAAGGCAAGAAAACATGCATGTGGAAGAGAGAAGTGGGAAACTAATTAACCCTTTTAGTGTCTGCAGCTTTTTCATTAGTTGGTATTGTTAGGCTTCTCAATTGTATGTGTATTGTCATATCTCCCAGTGGCTTTTAAATTTTTGTTCCTCTGGTTATTAATAAAATCAAGCACAAACCCCAGCAATTAATGTACTGTATCAATTTGATATTTATGAGAAAATAAATGAAATGTCTTTATGGCCTTGGGATAGGGAACATATTTCCTAAACAAGACATAAAAGAAAATAATACTGATTTCTAGAATAAATCATTAAGAAATTCCATTCTTCAGAGACACTAGTGAAAGAATAAAATTCTATCCATGACGTAGAATTCATTTGCAATATCTACATGTAATACAGATATACAGCTACATACTCCTATAGATGTAAATGTAGATATAGGATATAACTAATAAATAGCTAGCATATAAATACATATATGCATTTACACATTCAAAATTTAACTAATAAATAATGTGGAAAATGTGCATGATGTTATCAAAAACCACAGGGAGACATGAAAATACACAGAGCAAAATGGCTAAAAATTAAAAAGACCAACAATATCAACAATTTAAAAAGATGCAAACCAAAAGTAATTCTCTTACACTACTGCTGCATACCCTGGCACCACCATTTTGGAAAAGTCTCACCATAGAAATATACGCAGAATAAATGAATGCACACATACACCCAATGACATGTGAAAGGAGCTTCGTGGTCCTTTACTCACAATATAAAAACGAAGACGCATCCAAAATTCCTCTCAATAGCAAACACATGAATAACTTGGAATCATTACTTAGAACTACACATAACATCCACCAAAAAGTGCACTTAAAGGTATAATTTTAAGTGAGGTAATCTAAGTAATACTGCTAGAAGTCAGGTAAATAACCTAGTGAAAGCCAGATGCAGTGACTGAGATTGGCCACACACGGAAGCTTTTGGGAGGTAAGCAGTGTTTTATTCCTTAAGTTTTGTGGTTTGCTGTTATGTTTTGTGGTTTGCTGTACGTACTTTACTTTTTTGTGTCATACTTACAATTAAATTTTAAACTAACTTGATCATAAATCTTGAAAATATAGGTTACAGACCTTGAGACTGGATTACCAGAGAAAAGAAGGGTTACATATTATATGGGATCATTTGCTCCCTTCACACTTTTCTTTCTTTGCACAAAATTTGTAGGCCAGGAAATATTTACGTTTTCTCTCAACCCTGAGAAACAGGTCATATCTACGGGTTGCACTATAATAAAATAGGAAGTGTGTCTGTTGGAGATGTAAATGGGGGTTGTGAAATCAGGGTGAGACTTAGAAGGGTCAACATGAGTAAGAGACTGCCTAAAGGGAAAGGGAAAAGCTGTTATTTAGGGGAAAAGTTCACGAGAACTGGAGTTTTTCCTAGGGAGGATGCAAAAGAGGAAATTTAAGAGAAGGGAATTAAGAAGGAAGAGAGAAGGGAAACAGAGGAGAGAGGGAGGGAGGTAAGGAGCAGTGAAATGGAAAGGTGAGAAGAGAGAGAAAAGAACAGAGGAAAGAACAAAAAGCTAACTAGAAAAAGGAAAATATAAAAGAAACAATGTGAAATGATCCATATCAAGTACCCGGTGTGAATCAGACATGTCACCTACATAGTATCATTGAAACCTCACACCAACCCAGTCAGTAGGTATTGTCATTCTTATATTACTAATGTAGAAACTGAAGCTTGGAGTTTATTTATGGGACTACACCTAAAAATGTCAACTCTAGGGATGCACAAGACCAAATCCTGTGCCCCAAGAAACAACTCAGTACCAACAGGGAGGTTAAACATTTATGCTACACTCAGATCCTGAAAAGAATTGCCCTGGAGTGATTCTGCCCTCAGAAGAAAATGGCTGACTTTATAGAACTAAGTAAAGATTCATTTTTGTGAGTCTATGACAGTAGGTCAGTTCTGTGGAATACTTACTGGGATCACCCATATCCTCTAATTCTGCCTTACAATTGTGGGGTATTTTAGAATTGTCTATTTTCTATTTTCTGGCATGAAACCAGTAGAGAACTAGAAGTCTTGTTTACATTGACAAACAATGCCTCTTTAAGAAAAAAATGGACAGAAGAGAGAAAGAATAGCCCAGTCCATAGTATTTGCCAAACAGAAGGAATGCCAAAAATAGATGTGTGGGATAATACAGAAATTTTCAAGGGGATACAAAAAGAAATCATATGGACTTCTCCAGACTAACCAGAGAGTATTCCAGAATTATCAAAGATCAAGAGTGGTGTCCCCTAAAGGAAAATCATTTCATTTCGACAAAAATGATAGAGAAATGATAGAATTTCTCTCTGCATATACCACAACTTTTGGGGTTAGGTCCAAGTATTTGAGTAAAGTAATATTCATGAATACTTTAAGTTCAGAACTATTTAACATTTATTGTGAGGCCAAAAAGAAGAGGACAGAAGGTGGGGGAGAGAGTAGAGAGAATTCACATCTGAACTGTACACATGTACCATAGTGTGGGGACACATATCAGACACTGCTACAGCAGTGTATATAGCCCTGCCCTGGATATTCATTAAACCCCCCACAAAACTTAAATAAAGCTACCTACAAAGAATAATTAGAAGTGAAAATCAATAGAGAGAAAATAGCTCATATTCTCCTCATTGATTTCCTGTGCACAGTGAGTCAAACTTGACTGTTGGTTGGAAGTCAGTTTGGCTCCTTCTCATTTCTTTTTTAGCAGTTGGGTTCTCCTGTCATTGCCTTTCTGCTGGAGTCCTGCTTTGCTCTAATCACAGCTGTCAGCTATTGAATGAGTTTGACACCCTCACTCTAGAAAGGAAAGAGTTCACACCCCATGCATATGCAGTCAGTTTCTTCATTAAAGCTGATTGACACAAGATATGGTACACTGCCACTGGCTTTAAAAGGTGGGGGGAGCAAATGGCTATGGGTAAATTCAAGTGGGCATCATCTTGATCAAAAACACTCTGAGTCCAAGAACCAGTCCTCACACAATTCATCCAGTGTTACTGCAAAAAAGACTTTTTATTACTGACAAATGGTAGTCGGTTAAGAGACAAATCTGTACACATATCCAAACACACACACACCTCAAATTCAGATTCATGTCCTACAACCCTAGCTTCCTTTCCAAATGATGTCAGTTGGAGTCCCAGGTATTGGTGACCATTGTAAGACATATAAATGAAAAGGGAAGGAGTTGGTTACAATGGCCCAAATCATCCACCTCTCAAGACTGAAACAGAACTAGAATTTCTCAGCTCTTCAGAATCTAAGTTAGTATCACAAATAAGACTTGAGACGTAAAAAAAAATATAAATGGCAAAAAAAAATCTAGTCCAAAATCACCAAGTTGATTGTTGCTGAGAATCCCCACCAAGGGCCTATTCAGATTCTAGCTAACAGTCCTAGCAAAAAGCACCCATTTTTTAAGGTTGGATGAGACTCTGACAATAGAAGCCCAAACTAAGTCAGTATTACAGCAATCCATTACAATATAGTCCTAAACTTACAAGCTGCATTCAGTCATCAACATGTGTTCTCTTCAGGCCCCAGGAATTCACAACATGACTTCAACCATTTAAAGGAAAAAAAAAAAAAAAAAGTTCTGCTGTGAAGTCGGCCGCTTCCTCCCAGGCTATGCATAATAGTATCAGTTCCCTTCAAAAAGACAAGTCCCTTCTGACCATACCTAATTGATTTTTAACTTCTGATTCCTCTACCTGGTCTTTAAATTCCCAGCAGAATTTTCATCTGTGGCAATCTGTAGACTCTCCAGCACTATCACTTGCAATGTTTTTCCTGTAACTCAAGGCCTAGTGGACCCCCCAAAAAAGGGGAGTGGGGGGGGGTTGGCAAAAAGAACCCAAATGGACCAAGGAGTAAAAGTACCGCTGAGTAGCAACTCCTCAGCTGAGGTGATAGGTGTAAAGGGGTGGTGTATGTACAGCATTGTTACATCCTAAGGTGTGAGATGGTGCTTCCTCTACTGACCTGGGGGGGGGCGAGGTGGCATAATCATATATATGTACAGATAGGCAGATATGATAGGTAGGTGGTAGACAGACTGATGATAGACAGGTAGACAGATATAGATGATATAGATGACACAGGGAGGTAAGTGATATAAGAGATAGACAATAGGTATAGAAAGATATAGGTGACAGGGGAGGGGGAGAGGAAGGGTAGAGGGA